TAGGGTTAGTGCTGATGGGTTAGTGCTGATGGGTTAGCATTAGGGTTAGTGGTGATGGGTTAGAGTTAGTGCTGATGGGTTAGGGTTAGTGCTGATGGGTTAGGGCTAGGGTTAGTGCTGATGGGTTAGAGTTAGTGCTGATGGGTTAGTGCTGATGGGTTAGCGTTAGGGTTAGTGGTGATGGGTTAGGGTTAGTGCTGATGGGTTAGTGCAGATGGGTTAGGGTTAGGGCTGATGGGTTAGGTTAGGGTTAGGGCTGATGGTTAGGGTTAGTGTTAGTGCTGATGGGTATCCGGCGGGCTTATGGGGCCCTCGCAAATCCCACAGAAAGTTGTTTCCATCTTCAGGAAAATTCCACTTTACAAGGTCAAAGAAGTGAAGGAGAAGAATCCGATGTAATTGCCCGCCAAGCTTGTCAATATTTGCATAGGTTAGAATCAATTGCCCAGTTTATGGAACTGGCATTAGCCAAAATTGGCCTGCCAGCAATAATATCTGGCCCGCGCCCACAGTCATATCATTTTGATAGCGGCTGTTTCTGAAATAAATCTGTCATGACAGCAACAGTTACTCACAATCACTTCGTCTTTAGTGATTTTGCCTTCAAAATAAAAGTACTGTTTTTGCAGTAATGTTTTATTTTGAGATGAATTGAGAGCTTTTAATTTGAAACGTTCTGAAAGACATTCAAAAAAGTCTATTTATATTCTTTGCAAACAGCAACAATTTTGTTGCAGATAAGACACACCGGCTTTGCATTCACAAAACTAGCTAGGATGAACGCATAGTTGTCTTTACATTCTTCTTTGTATGCCCTATTTTCTCTGTCAACTTTCCTCTTTAGACTCTTTGATAGTGCCATTTTCTCTCACCAGCTAGCTTAAATGTTAACATCACTCTGCACACGACGTAATAGCGCACCTCCAGCATGCAAACAATTTTTAAAAATGCAGTTTATTACGTGAGGATGCCAAGGAATAATCCTGAGTGTAAAAGTAGGCTACGTCAAATAATTATTACAATAAGTTAGGCTTTAAAATGATACACATTTATTATTCACAATATGGAAAGAGGAAATAAAACATAGTTCGTTAAGAGCATGACTCAAACATGCCATTAATGGGCTTATTCAAGTTCACTAACTTATTCATTCAGTTATTCACTCTTTTATTTTGAGTTATTTTTATCCATTCCGCATCTACCACATACGTGTGTTTTAGCAAGGCGCTCTGTGTTGCAAGTTGCTGAATGAAGATACTTGCCAGGTTACGTGTCACTACTCTGCTTTATTAATTTATCCAGTGTAAAACCCGGACACCGTGACACAAATGTGGCTTTTTGTCAATGACTGTCCTCCTACAGGATTTAACACAGAGTAACAGCTCACTACCAGCTACAGAAGACACTGTAACAGTCTGTCACAGGCAATTCTAGTTGCATTTTTCATCAACTCATTTCTTAAATTATCCTTTGACTATATATAGTATATATGTTCTGGCTTGGCATCTAGTGGCGAAAATCTTTTTTGGCCCGATGCCAAACTTACTTGCTGACCCCTGGTGTAAGACTTCATGATTTTGGAGAAGGGGAGGAGTTCCCACAGCGATTGCGTCGCAATGTGAGTGAAAGCTCGATAGGGAACGGACAGTGCTCCTAAGATCACATAATTCGGTGGAGAATTAATAGAAATGATGTTCTGTTTAAAGAATGTGAGAATAAATCTGTTCTCAGATACCAATGATAACAAGAACTCAGCATCCACTCTCTCCTCTCTCAGAATACTCTTCCTCTGTGTTTGTTTACACTGGTTTTCGACACATTGCCTCCACTCTCGCCCTTTTGTGCAACAACACGTGATCTGAGCTCAACTGTAATTAGATGTGTTTCATCACAGAGCAATGGGGGAAATCCTCACTTTTTCACACCACGAATTATTGTGCCTGGTGTGAATAGCCCCATAGGGATCTATTTTTTCAATTCAAAAGCGTCATCGCTCCGAACATTCGCGCCCAATTTTCATGTTAAGTGTGATTCATATGAAAAACTTATATATGTTAAGTGCCCTGGAAACGTCCAGTCCAGCTCTCTTAATAAATGTGCAAGTAACAGACCTAACCTCTTTTCCTTGAAATGGTCCAAATCCAGTTTTACTTGCATAGAATGAAAGCTAGCTAACCCTCGACCCATCATCAACTCACTGGCATTCATAGGATTGGGTTGATAAACCGATTGCTGATGCTTTGTCTGAATGCTAACTCACAGTCCTCTGTGTTTTTAGGGTTTTATAGTAAATTGACGAGTTCGCACTTATACATAATCAGATTGAACAAATAGTAGGCATATTTGGCGAGTTGTCCGAGGGGAGGCCTCCGAGCTGGGAATACAGCGAACCCAGAAAAGTCCTCCATAACCCCAGGCTGGGGTGAAGTTGGCTGCATATATATACTATCGTGCTAATTAAGTTGATTATCTGAATTTCTTTAAACTCTGTCCCTTTCTGAAAGTATTGTGAAAGATGATGTTGCATGAACAAGAGTGGTTTACTCTTCAAATCTAAATGTAAGGTTCATTTTTAAATCTGAATCGCCAGTAGGATTCAGTAGGATTTTGTTATCCACGCCAAAGGTATTTTGACAGTATTGTGTGTGTGAGCTCTTACTTTCAGGAATCAGCTGCAGCAGGAGCAGAAACCCTCCTCCGATGACGAGGAAAGCGGACAGGACGGGTCTCCGAGGACAGCTCTTCAGGAGAAGCGTGGACACCATGTAGGCAGGCACCTCAGTGAGCGCGGATAGGAAGCAGTTGAGGAAGGGATCGCCGCTGAGGTTAGAGGTATTCAAGGACAAGCCGAAATATCCAATGTTGATGGCCATCCTATCGGAGGAACAAAGAGACACTCACTGATTTACGGAAAGTGGTATCATCTGAAGAGCATGGTAGAAATATATCGCACTGAAGCATGCAGGCCCATGCGTGTTAGACTGCGTGAATCTCTCACCAGAGTAGTAAACACAGGAACGTGGTTTTGCGGATATCTCTGGTCCGTAGAACATCGAGCACGCTGTACTTACTGTTCTGGGACGCCGCCTCTTTAACCAAGCAATGACCACACAAACACAGATTCACTCTCCATAACACCTCCCAGCTAACTATGGGAACGCTCCCAGAACGTTTCTTCAAGGTTAGGACAAAACAGTCTTAAAATAACGTTCTTATAACATTATCAATATCTGATGTATGTTCTCATAATGTTAAAATATTTTTAAAAAATGGTGTTTTACGTGTTGAAAGAACATTCAAATGTAAGATTCTCATGACGCACAACCAAGAAAAAACTTGAACGTAAAAAACATTGAGAAATAATGTTTTCATAACAGTATGATGGTTATATTCTATTCTGGTTTGGTTCTAGTGCTCTTTGTTCCTGTGTTTACTTTCTGTCTTCCTTATAGTTGAACTAATTTCTTGTTTGTTTCCAGAGTTACCCATTTGTTACCTGGGTTACACATGAGTTAATTGATTAGTGCACACCTGTTCCCTGTTCGTTTCATTGTCTTTCCTCAGTTCTTTCTGTTCTTTATTTGAAGTGTTGTTGCCTTGCTTGGTCTCCTGCGTGTTTATCTGGTTTATTAAAGATTTTGATATCCACTCTTTATCTTGCATGTTCAGTTAGACTACACTATGTGACAAACAGTTTCAAAAATGGGTGTTTTAAACATTGAGAGAACATTCATGTCATGTTAACATTTTCAAAATGATGGAATGAAATATTCCTTTTATGTTTGCATAACCAAAAAAAAAAACATACTTAATAAATTGAAAAAAATTGGATGTTTAGAGCGTTTGAAAAACATTCAGAAATAAAGTTTTCGTAACTTAATGGGAATATTATTGAAAGTTTTTATTTTAGCGGGGTTAGTCTCCTCAGACCTCGGACTCGCTGAAGATCACCGCTGGAGCAGAGACCTTGTTCTTCTTCGCTGCTTCTCTCATGATGGTCTCAGATTCCAGCACGCGTCCCTGAGAGAGAAGCCATCGTGGAGACTCCGGGATCAGCCTGTGCATTTAGAAGAAAACACGGGAAATGGAGACGATCTATTGTAGGGAAGGACTGAAGGGTCAAGTGGCCAGTGATGAGAACTGCGCCGATTCTAAAGATGCGCTCACACTAGGCTTTCAGCATAAGACACTGCAATGCAATAAAAACTATAATTCAACATAACAAATGATCTTAAAATGTGATTGCATAGTCTACCTTTCTGCAGTGCTGCAGATTTAAAACTTCTGTTCTTTACATTCAGAACTTTGTGAAGTCTTCGCATGAGCTTGTGAAAGTGTAGTGTGAGCGTCTCTGAAGCCCTTCTGGTTTTCTTGGACTCACCACCACAGTGGGATGTAGACCACCGTCAGGCCCGACAGAACCCTCAGTAAAGACCTCCAGTCACGGACGGCGAAAGCGATCCACGGCAGCACCATGTAACCGATGCAGTAATGCAGACTTGCTCCCAGCGTCGTGAAGAAAACACGCAAGGACTTACTCAGCACTTCACTGCCTGAGACAACATAATCACATTTATACGTCTAGAATATCCCATGCACACTCTTCAAAACAAAGCTTCTTCATTGGCATTGTTAGTTCAAGAAGAACCCCGAATGAGCATGAAATCTTTCCAATGCACAAAAGGTTCTTTATAATGGAAAAACATTTTTAGATTATTAAAATGTTCCTCACACTAAGAAAAAACTGTTCACTGAAAGGTTCTTTGGATGGTTCTTCCAAATGGTTCTTCTGTGGCATTGTTGTGAAAACCCCCTATTACAAACCTTTGTTTTTAAGAGTGCAGGCTCATGCGTTTCCAGCATATCTCAGGCAGTGAAATAGTTCTCAGATTATATTCACTTCAGTGACATCTCACTTTATAATATGCTTACCGAGCACAAAGGCTGTGATGTACAGGGATATTTGGACTGTGCCAACAAAAAAATACAGAACACAAAAGAGCAGCCACGAGTCGGAGAAGGACTGCGCGAGGATCACTAGTGCTTCAGCCACCAGAGACATGAAGAAAACCTTCCTCCTGCCGAACCTGATGAGACACGAGACACCAGACGTCACTGCACATGAATTACACTGTGTGCATGTGTCTCTAACAGCGGCTGTGAGTTTCGAGGAGGAAACAGACCACTTACAGTAAACAAAAATTGTTCTTATCAAAAGATTTTGTGAATGTTTGCACTGATTATGACGTGAGGACAAAAGCAGTACCTGTCAGAAAGTTGGCCAGAAACAAGAGAGCCCAGCAAGTAGCCCATGTATAGTGTTGAGCTTGCGAACGGGACTCTCCACTCGCTGTCACACACCAAATCCCACTGCGCCAGAACACAACAGAGCGACAGCTTATTACACACTGTTATTATTATTACTGAGATCACTGAGAGCTGTTATTATTATTACTGAGATCACTGAGAGGAATGCAGCAGCCACACTTGAGTTTTCATGCACTTGGACAGGAGTCATGGCAGAGTTTATTTGCATCTGTTTGGTTTAATTTAAACTCAAATTCCTTATCAGCATAAATCTGTTAATTGTGAAAACAAATTTAATCAATTAAAAAATAGTTAATTTATGTCTAGCTGTGGAACAAGATTCAGTTAACATGTAACAAATGAAACAAATTGGATTTGTTGATGATAAATCTATAGCAGATTAAAACAGATTCGGTTCATTAGTGCTACTCAAATCTCATTCTTGTTTTATTAATGCACAACTGACAAATATGCATCTCATTAAGTTGATTGGTTTGTTAAAGCTGTGCAATCCAAGTGGATGGAAATTTTCTTTGTAATTACAGTTTTTTTCATCTGCTTACACACAGAATCTTTACTTATCACACAGTTTCTGAAAGCTGACACTCAAACTGCAGAAGCACACACCAAATCTACAAAACCATCAGCCTTTGACTCAGTTTTCAATTTTATAAAACACTTTTTGTAAAACACAACACACAGTTCTCTGTGTAACACACACAAATCTAACAGGAAGTATCTTGATTTCCTTTTTCAGACTCAACCAATCAGAAAGCCTCACTAATTCATCACTAACTCCTCACATGTGCTTCACTGAACAGGCTTTAGATCAGGGCCCAGTTGCATAAACTTAGCCTCTATGATAAGACAGTGTCTTAAGTACTAGTCTGACCAACTAGCAGTTAACCAAAGGGTAATCGGTCTTGTGTTTTGGATTCAACTTAGACTAATGTACAGTTTTATTTAAGTAAATTTAAAAAAAATATGACCTGCCTTAAAGAAAAAAGTAGCTGACTAACTTTTAAGACTAGTCTAAACTTTTTATGCAACCGGCCCCAGGCCTATAAACACACATCTACACAACTACACATGCTTCATGTATTTCTTTTCTTTTGTACTGTGTACAACCACAAATGTTTACAGTAAAAAAAAAGTTTGGTTTCAATCTTGCTTTCGTGTTAACCGTGAATTTCTCAACATCTCTCTGCCAATTACTTTCAATCTTGTACAGATATGTTCACAGGAGCTTATGAAAGAAGAGCTTTAGGTATTGAACAACTGTGTGCATATGATATACAGTATATCCAAAAATATAATATTATGGCAAAGGTGTTTGCAATGCAAGACAAATGTTTGCTTTTGAGATGTGTTTGTGATATTTTGAATGCAGTGCTTCATTTTGCAAGAGATGTGAGGTATTTTGCATTTTGTGTGCAGTTCTTGGATTTGTGTGTAAAGTTTAAAAACGAGGCAAAGTTTTGAAAATGTGTGTAAGCAGTTGAAAAAACGATATAACACATGAATCTTTTTTCAAGTATTTTTTTTAGTTTTGCGTGCACGCACTCACCTCAGAGACGATGGTGGAGTGGTATATTTCTGTGCTGTAGCTCCATCCGTCCACACACGTCTCCAGTGTAATGTCTGTCAGATTAACCTCCAGTGGAGAGTAACCCAGCGCACACAGCTTTCTGACCGTCTCCAGGCTGTACCTCCAACACTGACTTGGCTGCAGTTTTCCATTGACCATCTCATTGGGAATACTGGCTTTCAGCCATTCTTCACTTAGATTTCCATCCGCTATCCGACAGTGATGTGACGGTGAAGCCCCAACAAAAACTATGTAGAGGCTGTGAAGCCCCGTGGAAATGTAGACGGCATTCAAGAGAAAGAAAAGGATGACAAAAAACGGTCCCTTTTGCCCCAGAAAGGCGGTGTCCTCGTCATAATTTCCCATTCTGCCAGTGCTCGAGATTACAGACCAATCAGCTGACTGTAAAAATGCCTTTTTGTCCAAAGCCTCTGAATTACCACATGTTGCAGAGGCCAGCTTTGGTGTTTAGGTCTTTGGTCTTTGGAAACTCCTGGAGATATTTGGAGAAGAACGCTGCTATACACTACCTGGGCACATGAAGGAAGGCTGTGAGTCTTGTCACAGAGTTTGACTGGTCTTCAAACATTATGTACATGGCAACTAATACAAGGCACATTTTTCCACTAAAAGGAGCCAAAAGAATTATGAAAGCTTGCAATCTGATTAGCTCTAATGGGACTGAAACTCCACAGCAGGATAAAAAAAATACTTGATTGTAACTGCTATCAAGAGCCTGAGGTTTGAATATCATTTTTGAAAATGCCTGCTATTTATTCTGATTCATCAAATCCTATCACAAGAGCAATCCAGATACTTTGAGAAGAAACACCTAGCAAGTGCAAACAAGCTGCAATGTTTTTGATGACAGAACCTGCACTGAGTGTATGATCAATGACAGATGTGAAGTGCTGGGAAAAAGAGAATACATGTTCTTTTGCTAAATGCAACGAGTTTATGCCATCAGGAGGTTAACTCCAAATACCTGCAGAAAACAAACAAAAAAAGATTTTGGGTTTATTGGATGTTTCAGTGGGATATAATCTAGTTTATGCATTCATTGGGTATTGGACGACAAGTGATGACGACATTTGTAATGGTGCTCTGCTGTCTGTGGGTTTGATTTATTTATGGATGTCTATTATCACAATATACATCTGTGAAGACATCACTGAATTACCATATTTAATGCAATGATCAAGTCTTCAAGCAATGATCAAAGACCTCAAACATGTCATGCAAAAAAGAGAGCATTTGTGTCTCTCAAGCTGTCTGCATGGCATGTGAGATGTCAGTATAACAGCATCTCTGTATTTCTGGCAAGCTCTCAATCTGAGTAATCAGAGAACGGGCTGAGCGTTGGACTCACTGGCACACTCTTGAATCTTGATGAATCTTTAATATTGTTATCGGTCTAGTGACTCACATAGAGACTCTGATTCTATCAGATGGTTTGTGACCCAAATGACCAAAAAACAAATCTTAAGACATTGTTGAGGAGCACAGCCGATTTGATAGAGAGACCCGTGTGGATAAAGACCTGAGAGATCTTACTTCTTCTCAGTTCTCCTCACGTCCAGTGGAAACACTCAGCAACACATGCTACAGATTTTGTGAGAGGTAGTAATTCATTTGTCTAGGACAGGATCGGAGTGAACTAACATGGAACATGGAAGCTCTAGTAATAATATGCAAACTCAACTCAAGTTCTCATGATCTTTACAGATTCCTAACTTTCTGGCCTGGGTAAATTTACTCAGAGTTAAGGCTAAGGCTTAACTACACCACAGATCTTTGCCCCATTTTACAGCCACTGCAGCGTCAGAGGCGTTCTGCAGGCTTTGGTCAGTCAGAGATGACAGATTTCATGTAGTGTATGATGGACACCGACTGATTTTCTTGGCTACAGACTGTGATTCCACATAGTTTAAGGATTTCAAATATGTTTAATATTTTAGGCCGATTTTAGGACACATTTACACAATATTTAGAGACTATGATTCAGATAATCCCAATAATGCAGCATACATTTTAATAAGCATACACTGAGTGGGTTGCATAACATACTACAATAGACTTTCACTTTCACTGGGCTGTGTCTGTCCCTGTCTGCACTTTGTTCTAATGCACTCTGACATAAATAAATACACAAATAATCTAACAATGCTTAGTTTACTTTACAAGTAAAGCATCATTTTATCATTGTTATTTGTGGATTATAACATTTAGCAATAATTAAATAGTTAATATTTTACACATTTGTAAGTTTAAAATAAACATTTAGGTAACACTTTATTGAATGGTGTCCTTCTTACACATGTTACATGTACTTACTATTATAATAACAATTAATTATGCATAATTACATGCAACTAACCCTAAACCAAACCCTCATCTTAACCCTAACCCTATAGTAAGTGCATGTAGTTAATTCATATTACTCAGTAGGCCTACTTATATGTATAATTACACTGTAACAATGACACCTTAAAATAAAGTGTAACCATATTTTATTTTAGTGCAGAAGGCTAGAATTAAAAATGGAATGAATGGAGCTCAGAGGATTGTGCAGCTGCTCTGAAGAATAAACCCCACATTCATGGCCGGACTTACCATTGGGCTTGACTGGGCTGCAGCCCAGGGGCTCCGCCTTGTAGGGGGCCCCGCTTAACCCGTTTACATTTGTTCAGTTGTGCCAGTCAGAAACTATTAGTCGCATTTCAACTGCGCACACGGGCCAGCCGGGGCTAACAACTTCCAGCTTACAACTACGACATTCGAAGCCATAATCAAACAGCATAAACTGGAATTATTTTTTTTTCACATAGAAAAAGGACACGCGTATTAAATCATGTCTGCGCTGCGCCGAATCGCCGATTAATTTGTGATCACAGGGCTACTTTAAACGGTTCCATTAAGCCTTTAGCCCAAAAGAGCGCACATTTACAAAGATAATGATAAATTCTCACATGTTCACGCCTCACTTCTTCACAGAGGATGATTCTATATTATATTAATGTTCCACTAAATGAATCTGATGAGTTCTGAGCGCTCTGTCCCGTCCAAAGACTATAGAATACCCTAATATCTTACAGGGACTTTGTCCCGTCTCACTACCTCCACACAAAGTGGAGCAGAAATTTCATCAAGACGATTTAAAAAAATAAAAATAGCCATTTACAGGGTTCGTACGGTCATGAAAATCCCAGAAAGCTTTGGAAAAGTTGTGGAAATGTATTTTACAAATCTCTATATAATAGAATATATGTTTAATCACGTCCTGAATCTTGGTGCGGGATTGTGCATTTTGGATTTACTCATTCCGGCAGGTTTCACACGTTTGGAAAATTCCCGCAAACATGTATTTAATATACAATGTAGGTTAGATGAGTTAAAACAATTCACACAGAATATCAGATGACTTTCGCTCAGCTGACAGAACGGTCACTTGGCTAATCGGGTCAGTGTTGCATCATCACAAAAGTTTATCATTTGCACGTCTTTTTAAACCATCCGGTACTCGCGTGCTCCAAACTAGTTTTCTGGGCGCTCATGGTCACATCCAAAGCGCGCGCACATGAAGCCGCATCGCAAACACCTCAAGAGAAAGTTATTGTTTTCATTGTTTCTGACTCAAGTAACCTTGCATTTTAATAAATAATGTTACATAAAGACAATTAAACGGTCAGTAATAAATGAACAAGTTACTAGCAATAGCACAAGGATACAAATGAAACAAACTGTGCTTTAACTTTTTCAGGTAGGCTAGCCTAAAACTAACAGTAGCTGCTACTGTTCAGGAACAAAATACTATGATGTATAAAGTCATAGATATAGATTATATTTATATATTAATCCATATTAAATATGAAAAAGTTATTTAGTCAAGAGCAGATTTGAGCAGAGTGATTTTTTAACACAGACTGACAGGCAGCAGGTATAAAAGCTGCTCAGACACAAAATTCTGTTTTGCCCCATCAATGCGTCTCTGAGCAACACAGTGTTTTGTTTCTCAGCTTTACACGGACCAGTAAATGGTTCAAACAGGCTATAAGTACAGTCGTTTGCTAAGTTAAATTAATTAGCATTTTAAACAAATCGGTTGATATATGGATTCAACTCACTCATTTATACAGTCACTTGCTGCCACCTACTGGCGGTTGTAGTTTCATATTTTTAAAAAGTAGCTAATTATTTCATTTTTGCAATCATTTAATATTTCTACATTAAAATGTATTTAAACTTAACATAACTTGTGCAAAATCCATCTATGGATTTTGTTTATAGTGATTTCATTTTATTGTTAATAGCCAACATGTTTTTTTATTCAGATTGAATTTATTAAATTTAAGAATCTGACATAAAAAGACACAGATATGACAATACATTTTCATAATAATACATCTCTTTGGTTTTTTCTGCTCAGTGTTATTTCAGGGTTTTGATCTCTCAACTGAGAGATCACATCCTGTTTATTGTATTATAGTGACTATTTGATATTACATCTAAACTTTGACTAGGCTAGACATGTTGCCTATTAATTGTATACAGTATATGAACCTGAAAGCATATTTAAATTTTTGTGTATTTTGTGTTACTCCATAATAATGTTCTAGTTGAGGGCATTTGTAGTATAGGTATGGGGCCCAAACATAACCTCAAGCCCAGGGGACCCCCGGCCCCGTAAGTCCTGCCCTGCCCACATTAAACACTGATTCCATTCGAGATCCTCCAAATAATGCAGGATAGCCTACAGAAGCTTTTCTTAACTGCCTAGACTAGATGAATTCTAGATAAAGGCCATTTCCAGCACACGTTTCTCGTGAATTCCTCGCATCACCTCCCTCACATCTGAGTAAAGTGAAAGTGAAAGAGCTGAGGCTTTAAAGCCTTCAGTGTAGGCTATTTGTACTCGTCTGATACCTTTGCGTCCATCATGAGTTCGGATTAAACACATTTATTCTGTTTATTAGACGCCACGATCGACTCTTGGTAAGCGTGTTTCAATCCTTCAGTCTGGAATGTTATTTATAGTTGATGATGATTGCTCTACATGACTGCAGCTGTTTGTAGCTTTCACACCAGCACATCTCTACAAACGGGTTTTAATGTCATGATTTACAAATGTCTAATAGCGAACATAACATTTACAAATATCTTGTGATGTGTCTGCTGGCCTGAGAATTGGTGAGTTTTGGGAATTTCGCATTCTGTGGCGATCTGAAGATCTGCTGTTGGCTAATGTGAAAGAGAAAGTGACGTTCAAACGTTGTGGCACCGAGTCGAGTTCAGATCGTTCGATCGTCGCGCCAGCGTTACCGTTACCTGCTATCGTTATATTGGTTGCGATCGTGGAGTTACTCACG